CAATTCAACATGAATTAACACTTCTTTCTAATCTTTTAAAGTATCTTTTCTAGCTAATGTTTTCTCACCCAAATCCCTATCTACTTTTTAAGAAGTAACAAAATTAAAATTGTAAAAGACTTCTTAAATTATGATTTTTAAAATTAGCACATACTGATTTTTCTCCTAATTATCCAAATTAGTGAATAAAATTTACATATAAAAAGAAACCACTGTCTTAACATTAATCCTCACCCTTACACAATTCAAGCACATGTAGATAACTCCCTTGATTTCAGTTTTTCCTTTGACTTCTCCACTATAGATCAACCAAACAATTCTCTGATCATGGTATTGAAGCCACTGTTTTATGTATATAATTTCTATGGGAATAGCTTTATCATTAAAGTTTTTCAGGCTACTGTATAACTTAAAATATTTTTATCCAGCCAGAACCATAAACTTAATTCAGTGTTCTGTCATGTGAAAGTCTAATTAATTTTCTTCCTATTAGAAACAGCTATCAAGGATAATTCACATCACGTAGTGAATTGAGTCATATTATCCTAATGATAATGTCCAATTTTTTGTGATGGAAAGATCCTCAGACTAAGTCTGCACTTGCTTAGTGACACTTCTCAAATATCACTCTTTCCTTTTTCCCCTTGCATAATGTGATTTCTGCCTGCTGATGGAAAGAGATACAGCTGTCTTATAACTTACTATGCTGTTGTTCAGTTAGCCTGCTGGAGAGTATGTATGAAATAAAATATGTATAATAACTTAAAAAATCAGATAGTTTCCTGTGTAATCTCTCACAATTCTGGTAGATTTTTTTTTCATATTTGCACCAGAGTTGTCATCTTTATTTATACAGACGTTCTCAGCATCCCTTATTATTAAATCTTACAGGGTTGTTATTTTCTCATTCACTCTGTTGAGAAGATCTAGACTGTAATAACAACTAGAAATATTAGTGGACATTTAAATAGAAGTCCACCAATTAAAAATAAACAACTGGAGAACAATAGGTGAATATTTCTTTCATTTTAGGTTGCTTCATAGATCAAATTTACATTTGTATTTGATCTGGAAAAGTAATATTGAATCCACATTTTTTAAAGATTGACATAATATTCTTTTTCTTTTTCTTTTTTTTTTTGGTACCAGGGATTGAACTCGGGCACTCAACTACTGACTCACACCCCCAGCCCTAAATAAAATTTTGTATTTTATTTAGAGACGGGGTCTCATTGAGTTCTTAGCACCTTGCTTTTGATGAGGCTGGCGCTATCCTCCTGCCTCAGCTTCCTGAGCTGCTGGGATTAGAGTCATGTGCCTCCGCGCCTAGCTGGATATAATATTGTTATATAATGATGCCATTTTCAAATGTAGGACAGAAAACGATGTGACAAAAGATATGTCTTTAATGCCAGTAATGAATAACAGAAGAATCAATAACTGACATACAAATTTGTAATTATTGCTAATGAAATACAGTAGTAGTCGAGGTAAAAGAGAAGGGAGTTAGCATTACCAAGTAACTTAAATAAGTCAGAAACTGTATTTGTAAAGTATGTTTAGATCATTTAATTGTCTGGCAATTTACATAAAGAAATTGGAGCCTTTGAGGTAAATTTTCATTTTAATTGATAGAAATTAGAAAGTCAGTGTTATAGCGAGAACTTAGTTACCTACAAGAATTTTTCACTGAAATATTTAGAACAAATTAGCCTCTGATTGATGTTCTTGGAGGATGAATGAATTTCTCTCCCACCTCTAGCATGAACAGTTTGGCCCTGGATATCTGGATAAGCAAGGCCTATCTCTTTGACCCTTTCAGTCCTTTGATGATGGATTTTGCCCACATGGTTGAACACCATGGTAATAAGTTCACTTGCTGTTTACTTCAAACTATATACAAAATCTCCTCCCATTTCTCCTTTATCCAGCCTTCTCCGTAATCTCTTCCTAAATAACCGTATCACAACAAATGATTAAGCATTTCTGTTGTTTCTTATAGCTGAAGCAAGTGATTGATGAGGCGCCTAGTTCCAAGGACATTCTTATACCTTAAGGCTCTTCTTGCCCCTGCCCTCACTTGATGCTCATATACTACTTTATTTTCACATGAATTTATGGCTTCTCCATCCAATTTTTAAACTTTCTAATTAAAGACAAGAATTATGTGTTACTCTTTTCCTGTCTCCCACATTTTTAACTCTTCTGCTCAACATATACTCGATCAAGGGGCTGGTAGATTGTGTGCTTAGCTTGTATGAGGCCATAGGTTCATTCCTTAGCACCCAAAACATATATATACACTCATATATGTGCATGCACAATTGAATACATGTTGTCATGGTATTGATCATCTATATTGTATTTAAGAATCTGTAAGATTAACATTATGATACAGTTACAAGGTATTGGCCCACTTAGTAAATTCTCAGTTCCCATTTTCTGTAAAACTCTTCATATTCCATAGTCTCTTGACCTTTGTCAATTCTTCCCCTAATGTGTAGCCTCCCCTTTACAAACCTTTACAAAACCATTTTGCATGCCTGAGTCAGGGTGAGGCTAATGGGCCATGTGTAAAAGGAAATATTTGTTGTGTAATTAATTGAAAAATATAAGCAATATGAAGACAGGAACTCAATTCATACCTTTTTCTATTGGTGTCTGATAAGTCTCCCTTAATTAGTGCTCACAAAGTATTTGCAGTGAGACTGGGTAGAATGTATACAGGATAAGGGACATGATTGTGGTGTAGTGCTTCTCACTGCTTTCTGTTATCTTGAGCATCAGCTCCCCACTGTAAATTAGTTTAAGCTGGCCTTCATTAGAATCACCAACTACGCTCTAAAAATAGTTGATGCTGTCAATAATTCATTTGTAAAGACAACAGTATTGATTTTCACTGAAGCACATTATTAAATAATTCTTAGCAAAAGATGTGATGTCTTACTGAAAAAGACTTTATTCAACAAATGAACGTGGAGAGAAGAAGAGAGGACACCTACCTAAAAAACAGGCAATTTGCATGCCGATGACATCATCCAGCATCTTACTATTGTGACTTTCTTAAAAATTTTGAACTTCTCCCGCAAAAAGAGATAATTCATTTCTCATGACAAATATGTTAATAAAATTGAAAGTCTTTTGTCAGTTTATAAAATAGTGACCTTTGTTCAAATGACTGTTCATCTGACAAACAGCCCATGTACCTTCTAGTAGGACACAGTAATGATGCATGTGTCTGCTACTTCCATTTTCACTTCACCCTATCATTTGTCACTTTCTGCCTATAGACAGCAGCCAAGGCTATTTGTCTGCCTTAGCTTAATATGCAAATCCCTCATCCACATGCATGGACTGTGGTAGTGTATCTCCTATATCACATTTGCTACCCCTAATTACATTCTGAAATGTAATAAAAATTCTAGTCCTGTGTATTATTTTAATTACTTTTATAAGAAAAGTGAGTATCTTGTGAGTTTTTACATCCATTGATAGGCAAATTTACAATTTATAGGTAAAATTTTGAGAAAATTTGAGTTAAGATAACCTTGAGATAATATTAGACACTTGTGTATTAAAATTGCATTATTATCCATGATTTAGTTTTTCATTGATATGATTTAAAATGAAATGGTGGGGAAAAGTTAATTTGGACTACATGTTCTTCCTTAGACCAGCATTAAGTGGCAAATTTTTTTAGTTTGGGTTAAATTAAAAAGTATTTGAAACATACTAAATTAGTTAATTGTATGCATAGAGTGACCATTTTAAAAGGTAAGCTTATGAGATTGAAAAAATTGTATTAATTTAATAAAATATCCAATAGTATTTACATGTAACAGTTGACGAATACAAGGAAAATATCTTTTTTAACAGATAATATAACTTTTGGTAACATACAATGAATATCAATATGGTATTTCATTTTAGTGAAAGGAGAACTAGATATCAGAGTTGAGAGAAAGGGTTATAGTAGCAAGCCACAGAAATACAAAGGAGAAAGAAAGATGTTAGTGGATGTTGAAATTTCCAAGTAAAATATAAAGTTAATGATAGATTAATTGCAACATCACACATCAGAGCTCTCAGAGCTCGTTCATATATTCAGTCATGTGTGTGCATTACAAAATGTTGGCAGGTACACTGACACTTTATTGATGGAGGAATTGAAATTGAGAAAGGTTACATCACTTGCTTAATGTCCACAGGTGGCTGAAGTAGAGGGTGATTTGAATTCAGACCATCAGAATGTGCATCTAGTGCTTTTCCCTCCTTATGGCCCCTGGTCTTCAAATAACTGAAAAGTTAATGTCAGTTGTCCTACTCTGTTGCCCTTCTCCTGCTCTTGATCTTGGCTCCTTTACCTCACAATGAAGTATTTTGCTGTGAGTTTACCTGCATTTATCTGACAAAGTACATCAAAACACAAATGTAATTTTTTTTTTTAAACCATAGTTAGCAGGTTAAATAAAGCAATGGGAAGAATCTTGACTCCTGGCACTGAGGTAACCCACACTCTGTGATGTGTACCCAACGTTGCTTTGAAATAAACCATTTTTGACAATAACCCTAGGCATTGGTGGTGGTATTCTCTGTTGATGCAATCTAAGATTGAGACCTAGAGAGGTCATTTTTTCTCTCCTTGGTTACCATAGCCTGAAGTGGAAATATCAGAGTTTGAACTCTATATTTTCTGTCTCCAGAACGTTGGTTCTTTCAGTTATAAACAACTTCCTGTCCCCACCGATATCAGACAGGCTTTTGTAGCTGAAGAAAATGGGGATTAAAAGACACAAAGTATGTACCTTCTGTGCTCTTATCCCACAATGGACTTTGTCCGTAGAGCCCTGTGGTAAGATTATTATTTCTCTACAAGGGAAGCTAAAGTCACTGAAAGTGGTTTCCTCATTCGTTATCTAACTGAGGGAAATAGGGTGAAAGCTATTTGAACTTTCTTCAGTCTGTTTGTCAAATTAAAATTTGCTGATTTTTATTCGTAGTATAAAGATGCATTTATGAAAGCAAATCCTGGCTACAAATGGTGTCCTACTACGAACAAGCCTGTGAAATCGCCAACTCCCACAGTCAATCCACGGAAGAAACTTTGGGCCTTTCCATCTGACTCTTCAAAAGACTTGCCAAGCCCCAAGAAGGCAAAGACTGAAGAAATGCCTCAGCTGAACTTTGGAATGGCTGGTGAGTTTAGATGTTCTTTCTACATCTTCTTTAGTAATAGGACAATACATTTCATTAATATTTTTAACTAATAGTACACAGTTTGAGGTAGTAAAATTTATGACCAATATGAAACAATCCCAAATAAATGGCATATCTTAAAGCACTAGAAGATGATATACAAAGAATATATATATATATGTATATGTATATGTATATAACTAAAGAAAGGAGATGGAGAGACCAAGTTATACATATGTGTGAATTCCTGTCATTTCTTTATAGAAATGTAGACGAAAATGTGGAGATTGTTGGGAGCTTAGGGAATTTTTTAATATTTAAAATATTTCAATACATATACCCATTGCAATGCAGTAGTCAAAAGAAGAATTTGCCAAGATGAAATTCAGAGATTGGGCAGGGTAGAAGCAGTGAAGTTGGTGTTGAGCACAGAGTTCCTATTTCATCAAACACATTCTCTTCAAAATCAGTGTACTGAACCATTTGCAATATGGAAAGGTTGGAAGGAAGTTGGGCAATACTGGGATGACACATTTTTGTTTTTAAATAGCCAACAGACCTTACCAGATTTAAGAGTTCCAATTTATATAAATGCTAAAAATTAAGCTTAACACAATGGCAATTCTGGGGAAACAGTCTCCAGATGATCTATATGTGTCTATAGTATGACTCTTAAGTGAGCTCTCAAAGTGATGGTTGGCTTCATCTTTTTTTCCCCCCTTTTTATGGGGATTAAACCCAGGAACAGGGGTATTCTAAGCATGAATTTAACCTCTAAGCTATACTATGTCCCAAAGAATCAAAACAGAGATCTGCTCTTGTTTTAGTTTCACTTTGTACGATTTTAGCTGCAACTCACTTGTTAATGGATAGTCTTGTGGATAGTCTTGGTGATTTTCTGAACTTCCCATATTATATCATTTGGAGTGTTTCTAAAACATTTTCTTATCACGATGAAAAAGTCTTATGTAGATGACTGGCTTCTAATTTAAATGTCTTTGATTATCATTTAGCATCCATTGCTTTTTCTCTCACTTCTAAAACAAGGTTAGTACATGTTGGACTTTTTTTTTTTTTAACAACATTCAATTATTCTTTGCAAACAAATAATTATTTCAAATTATATAAAATTATATAAAAGGTGTGGAGATAATACCTTGCACCTTATCTGATCATAATGGAATGAAATTGGAAATCAATGATAAAAGAAGGAAGGAAAAATCCTGCATCACCTGGAAAATGAACAATATGTTACTGAATGATCAATGAGTTACAGAGGACATAAAGGAGGAAATCAAAAAATTCTTAGAGATAAAGGACAATACAGACACAACATACCGGAATCTATGGGACACGATGAAAGCAGTTTTAAGAGGGAAATTCAT